CGTCTTACACTCACAATCCTCAATTAGTGGATCTGTACACCAGGTTTAAATAGGTCTATTTACGACGGTGTTTTGAGTATTTTGGTATTGATTTAAAGGGGCGTGAAACGTACTTAGTTATCACTCTTCACTTATTTGAACTCAGAAAAGAGAGTTATTTGAATTTCAGGCTATTATTTTGTAATTTTCCTATTGAAAGTTTTAGGCCGGTGCAGTATTATTTTGCATCAGAGATTTCCTGTTTTCGGATCATCAGGGACTCCGTTTAACTGTAGGGCACTAGAGCAGGTGGCGCTCATTTCTGATTTTAGTTACTCACACCCCTCTCCGTAGTGAGAGGTAGTCAGCTGCCCTGAAAACGGAGGTATCCTTTCTGTTTTTTTGAATTGCCACCCCCTCACATAGGTAACTCATCTACCCCTAGTTACCCCTGTTTATTTAACATCTCTTTACCCTACTATATATTTTTATTAAGGATTTGTTGAGAAAACATAACAAATTTGGCGCCCAACGTGGGGCGCTTAACATATTCTTCATCTGGCATGTCTTTAGTTAAAATTATATAGATAAAAATTAAAACATACGACATAAGCTGCAAACAAAATTCGGAAATATTCCCAATCAATACACATAAATATGTGAATTTTAATTATTTTATCGTATCAATACAATCCCAAAAGTTTTCCGGGCATATTTATCGTTTTTTTCAAATCTGTACTCGGGCATGTGCCTGTTATTTGAAACAATATTATTTCTGGCAGGCTCGCATAAAGTTAATTTAAAGATTATAAGATATAGAAAGAAGCCGGAGAGAGAAATAAATCGATTTTAATTTTCCGTCGTTATAACCCTGAAGCCTTATATATTTTCCAGTATTGGGTATATAGTTTTTCCTCGTCGTCGCAAATCTAAAATAATTATTTGAAAACAATTGAGATAATAAAGCGGCAGAGAATCGGAGAGAATGTCCGATATTGGGGGGAAGACAATAAACCGGATAGTAAAGCCAATAATAGCGGACAATATCACGGTGAAGTCAAATACCAAATTGAATTCGGGAAATTATTAATGAAACAAAACATCAGACGCCAGTTATCAATCGTTGAGAAGAAAAAGAAGAGGAGATTGGTAAGCAATCTATATTCTTTAAATCCAATAAGGATAAGATCGACCAGGTTCGGACTCTAATCAACTGAAGGAATCTTATTGTTTTATTGTATTAAGTACGGATACGGGAATCTGTTTTTAGAGATGATCTTTTTCTGCTTTTGTTTGATTGTTACTTTTCTTTTGAAGAATTATTACTATCTGTATTTGTAAGTTACAATGTAGCTTGTATACAGAACTGTCTTTAGACCTGTATACAGACCTATCTCTGGACCTGTATAGCTGTCTATATACTGGTCCGAGAGTTCGCTTCTCCAACCCGATGTAGTGACGGGTGATGACCACATACCTATGATCCGCCTGAGCTGAAGGTTGTCGAGTGATGACTTTGAACGGAACAAATTGGACCTTAGATTTTCTTATGGAGATTTACATGGGAAAATGGGTGAAAACTGTCCTAGCACCTTTACTCCTAATTCTATTCAGCAACGCAAAAACTTATTCCGGACCTAAAAAAAAAACATCAAAACCAATTAAATCCAAAAAACAATTTACTCTCGTTCATCCAGCCTATTAGTTCCGGGTCCTTTAAGTACGCCCCTGGACCAAATAAATCGGGATTATAGGGATCATAGCAAGGCTTTCAATTAGTTTTTTGATTGATTCGGCAGCCGCCGGAAGCAGCGCTTAATTGGAAGCGTTGATTGCAACCCAATCGTCTTTGATCTCGGGGCTCCCCCTTCACATAATTGCCATGTTTAAGATTGATTATGAATTTTCTTTGCGGAATGAACTTTTGAATTGACTCGGCCAGCGGCGACGCGTCTTTTTGGCCTTTTAATAAATTTTTGTATTGATTTATTTGATAAAAAATTTATTGTTTCTAATCATCTATTCTAAAACCAAAATCAACTAGGTGTATGTAATATTAATTGTGACTTTATACTTTAAGTTTTGTGGGACGCTGCTGGGCCAATATCGAAAAACCAACAAAAAAAACCCTTTTCCTTACTTTTCCCTGGGTGCTCGACGAGCTTGAACGCTTAAGGTTACGGTATTGAATTCGTAATCAACTACTTTAGTTAATTGGAGTTTTCTTTGCCATTGATTTTTCTTTTGGACTTGGAGGGATAAAAGCTCATTTGCTAATTTTATTTTCGTTTAAAAAAAGGCATCATCGATGGGGGCATTTTCGTTTTATTTTTCTCCAAGTTTTAATTATAAGACTGTTTCATTATTAATTGAAAGAGGGGGGTTTATACTTTGTTTTAAGAATGTAATCTTGTTAATGAAGCAATTAGGAAATTGACAATAGATTTTCAACAAATAAATCACCAATTAATCGAAGTGTATCCATCTATAAGAGAGGATAATTAGATGATAAATTGAATGACTTTAATCTAAAATAAATAAGCGGAAACTGGAAGAAGAGAAAGGGGCCGAAACAAAGCGAACTAAGTGGCACTAAACGAAGTAAGTGACGGATAGCGTCCCGACGAAGAGGGAAAAGCTTGTCCGGGTTAGGAGTTGGAAAAGGACGCGGTGCTTTATAAGCATGAAATTGATCAGGGCGTCCCTTTCGAAAAAAGACCACCGAGCTTTTGAGCAAATCCTCTATATAAACTGTTGCCAGAGATGATTGTGTTGTGTATTGGAACTGTGTGTTTTAGGAAGAAAAACAATAACCCATTGGATTAATATTAATTTGTTGCAGAATGATCAAAGACATTTTTCTTTCATCGATATAGGAATTTGAAATTGGCTTAATCATGTATCAAGAAGTTTAACCCAATATAAAAATGAACTTGGGTGGTGGTTTCATGATTGTTTCCAGGATTACGTTTGGTTGCCCGAAAATGTTGTATCCAGTACCTCGCAGTTTATCAGGATGTGTCTGGATTTCTCGGGTTCCTTATTGCATAGTCTGTAGTTTAGGTCTCCGTCATACAGGTTCATCCTGTTCAGTTGGACCTTTATTGGTATGTGGCCTGCTATAAGGCCCATTATATTCCTAAGTCGTTTCTTACTCATTTGTAGCAGTTTGTCCTATTTCTGTATGGTTGGTCGATGAACTCCCTACCATGATTCTGCCTGGAAGTTGTCCAGATAAGCATTCCCATACGAGTCTTGATTACACTATCTGGCTCGAAAGATCCTTCAGTGCCGCTCGACTGTCGAACATTATAAGGATCTGCCTGTTGGCTACGGTTCTCCTGTTATTCTCTGCTACGTAATGGAGTATCACATACCTCTGCCTGAAAAACAGAGACGTGCTCTCCTAGTGCATAGTGATTGTTGTAGCTGGCGGAGTATACCTGCCCCGGTAGCAAATATGCAGAATGTACCATTATATAGTCAATAGTGCGATTTTCCCTGCTCCGATTGGTCGAGACCAAACACTAGTTAGTTTTCGCCAAAAGTGATTAAAGCGCGGTACATTTCGCCATTGCATCTTCCGCAAAGCTCGGTCGGATCAAACGCAGGTACGTTTTGCCAAACTTCACTTAAACGTGGTGCATTATGCCTTAGACCGAGTACCACCCGCAGTCTTCGACCAGTACATGTACCAGGTCTGGTACTGCTTTCTGGTCTCCTGTATGCTCTGTTCCTATTCAGTTCCACTTCGGAAGCTGATGTGGAACGGTCTGTCAAGGCAGTGTCACCTTGGCATGTGGTCCGTCTTCATATCGAATAAATCTTCCCCTATATCACAATGTACAGAGCTGGGAGGTCTAAGAGGGTCTCCATGGCTGCTATTAGTATGGATCCAATGACATCTTAACACAGATAGACACCGCATCTCATTCATGAACTGATGTTTGTTGTGATGACAAGACCACCCCATGGGCCACGAGAGGTGAGCTGCTCGAGGGGGTCATGGTAGGGATGCATCAGTAGTGTAAACAATATCCGCCTTCCCCTCTGAACCCGTTATTCACTTGACCAAAATAATGAAGAAATGTTCACGAGTGCAACTATCAGCCTCTAACTCTTATGATATAAGTTGGATGGCTGCGTTGACATGCCAATCGATTGCAGCGTGTGTTCCGCTTGTTTTGCAAACCGGCGTTGCCAGTAGTCGTTTTTAATCTTGAAGCTCCAACTTTTTACAGCAAAGTTATAACAGGATAAAATATCAATCCGTAACAATTTGGCAACCAAATTGGAGGGGATACACTGGTGGTGGATTGCTCTCCTAGATATTTGCGACACAAAATTTTGTTTACTGTAATGTCTATCTGTGTTAATATGTTAGTAATATAGATCGCATGGCTCCCCTTATTCCTGGGTACTTTGCTGAGTTGGCGCATGGCACTTCCCTGTTGTGTCTTTGGCCACCACACCAGAAATGCGAACGTCAAAATGGATTTCACCATCATGCTGTAAACTGATGTCCACTACAGCATGTCAGGTCTCATTGGTCTCAAACTTCATAATTTTCCATGCAGGCGTCTACTTATTATTTTCAAATTCCATATTGTTAATTTCCGATTACCTATGCACTAAGATTAGTTCCATAAAAATCAAAAAAATAATTCCCGAAGCCCTTTTATTATACGAGAACCAGAATCAAATGAAAACGTCGACAAATTAAAAATTCCCCAAGTTTTTTAATTAGCGTAAAAATAACAATTATTTGTGAAAGTACAAATTAACTTTTTATTGTGTAAGCGAAAACATAATTAACTTTATAACGGAGCACGAGACGGTGGTAGGGTAGCGGAGGGCAGGGCTGACAAACGAAAAGTACACAAAAAGAAATTTTAATTTTTGAGGTAATAAAGCGAAATAGTCATTTACTTTAATTAAAAACTTGAAAAGTATACCCTTCTTTTGTTTTACTACTCGAAGACGTTTTAATCCAATTAATTAGATTTTGTCTTCTTTTCCAGATAAAGAGTAGGCCTAACGGCCCCATGATGACCATGGACGTGTCAAAAACAGAGGTGACCAAACCCAACAACCAAGGTCAGCCGCAAGAGTGCGCCGGATGCTGCAAGCCGATCACCGAACGCTATCTGTTGAAAGCCCTGGACATGTTCTGGCACGAGGACTGTTTAAAGTGCGGATGTTGCGATTGTAGACTGGGCGAAGTCGGATCCACCCTGTACACTAAAGCCAATTTAATTTTGTGCAAAAGAGACTATTTACGTTTGTTTGGCAATACCGGTTATTGTGCTGCTTGTAGTAAAGTAATACCGGCGTTCGAGATGGTTATGAGGGCCAGGAGTAATGTTTATCATTTGGAATGTTTTGCGTGTCAACAGTGTAATCATAGGTGAGTTTCAAAAAGTTTTCTTCTCCTTTTGGAGTGATTTCAAATGAAAATATTTGAAATTAATCCCAATAACAGAAAGTGTGCTTAGACGAGTGATGGCCGATGTACATTGGGTACCTTCACTAGTGGGGTTGCTCACATTGCAGACATTACTTATCTACTAGTATGACAAATGATAGGATTGATACTGTAATTTCAAAGATTGTTTCGTGATTCAAGTTTTGCTTCCCTTGTTCCCCAAGTTCACGTGACCAAAAATTCCATTCAATGGTTTGCTCCAATCTACTCCCAGACTGGATAATGTTTTCCCTTAATTCGCAATAGTTCTAGATTATTTTCAATTTGAAAAAAAAAGTCCGCAAAAATAAAACGTCCATTAGCGATAGCAATTTGAACAATTCAATATTGTCCCAGCGAAACGTTATCAATTCACAGACGTCCCATTCAATTACCGTTTCAAAAATGACGAGTAAACATTGTGGCCCATTAAATCTACAGAATACAGATATAACTATAATAGTCCAGAGGCCGAGTACGCGAACAATGGGCCGCGTCCCGAATAACGTTCCCATATATTTTCGTTTATTAGCGCCCGATTTCCACCTAACTGGCTTTCCTGTATATAATGTCAAAATCTGAACATCGCGATAAAGCGGCCTCTCCATTGTTTGCTTGATTGTCAAATTTATGTTTGTACAAATTAAATCTGGCGGTTGCATGGCGTACGGGGCGCTATCTACTGGCGGCAACAAAAGTTGACAATCAGTCGTAATTTGGGGTTGTGTTATTGTTAAGCGCCCCGGTGAAAATATTTTGTCGAGAGATAACGCGCCACAGCGCTGAAATTCACGACGGAACGCAGAACAAAAACGTGCTATAGGTATAGTTAATTAATTTGCATTAAAAACTATTCCAGTGAGGTTTTTTTTTTAACAGTTTTCCAGCCTGGCTGAAAATAGATTAAATAAAATCGAGCGTTCATTCGAAACATTCCTGGGTGCTGATTCTCGAAACAGGAGAACATCGTTCTCATGAGAAAGCAGGTTCTGTCTTCGTCGTCCATATTCATATTTGCACCTAACACTGATAAAGACAAAGAACGCTTTTCCTCAGTTTTGTGGAATATTCCAAAAAGCATGTCAGAGTGAACTTTGGCTCTTTGATTGGTTCATAATCTTCCCACTTGTCAAAATCCTGCCAGGGAGGTCTATTCTCGAAATAGGGAAACAACGTTCTCCTTAGACTGAAGGTTCTGTCTTCGTCGCCGATATTCATATTTCCATTACACTGACAAAGACAGAGCAATCAATCGTTCTCAAGAAAGCGAGCTATTCCCCGGTTTCGAGAATAGACATCTAGTGAGAAATATTTTTCGCATACCTGCTCTGACTTCCAGTGAACTTCCTTTAACATCCTAGGATTTATCTAATTATTCCCAGACTTCCTCGGATTACTCCAAAACTTCAAGACTGCCTTAATACTTACTTAAATTTTCACGATTTGAACTTTCATTGTAGAGGATTTCCACAAAATTCTCGAACTTCAGCGCAGCGGCCTTTTTAAATCGCGAGTCCGTAGAGCAAGGGTTTTATTCTGGTGATTAAAACTCTCGCCCTAGGGGCTCGCAATTTAAAAAAAAAACCCCGGTGTTTCGGACTCGTAATTCAAAACCCAACCCTCCGGGCTCGTGATTTATAAAGACCCCGGCCCTGCGGGCTCGTGATTTAAAAGCACCTCGGCCTTTCAGGCTCGTAATTAGAAAAACCCTCGCCCTACGGGCTCCGGTTTAAAAAGACGCCGGCCCTGCGGGCTCGCGATTTGAAAAAATAATATGGCAACACTGCTCATAACACAACAAACGTCAAAAAAACTGACGTTTGGTTGAAGGTGAAAGCTCAGCTGGTTTTCTATTTTTTTCCAAGTCGACAAAATTTCCACGAAAATCTGCTCCTTCCATTGAGCTTCCTTTGACATCCTACGATTTTCCTAATGATTCCCAAACTTCCTCTTTCTCCAAAACTTCCAGACTCCCTTGACAGATTGTCCCATTCTGAACTTTCACCGTAGTGGATTTCCACAAACTTCCTTCACTCACCACAAAATGGCTGAAAGTAATTTTTGAGAAATTTCTTGCCCGTTTTGGTACATTGAAGAACAGCATCAATTCACGTATTGATTTTTCTTATTCTAGAAGCATTTGAAACTTCCTTTTTTATTTTCCTTACTTCTTTTGCTTCTGACTTCTTTTGGGCGAGGATGGAAATCATGCATCGTGCATTTCTTTGGGTCCCCCATTTACATTAATACCGACGGTACCAGTTAAAATGATATGCGCACGCAATTACGCTTTTCCAATTCTACACGACTGCAGCCGAAGCTGCCACCAAATATCCATGTTTCTCTACAGATATTCATGGTTTGGACAGATATCTTTATCCTGTAGGAGAAAAGGTGGCTACCCTCTGGGCTACCCCCTTGGGGGTAGTCATTTGCGATTTCTTAGGATAAAAATCTTCATTCTTGTAACTTCATAGATGTCCATGACTATCTTTGTATCTCTAGTGATATCCTAGAATCTCCCAGACATATTCTTGCATCTCCATTGCCATCATGCCGTAGAATTGAAGATTTCCACAGACGCTACCTCCTCGGAAGTAGTCACAAAAATTCCTATTGGTGGAGATCTTCTTGTTACTGCATAGACTTCCATATGGATATCCTTGAATCTTCAGGGATTTCCAGTCATATCCTTCGACCTCCATAGAGATAATCTGGATTTCCATGGATCTCCGCAGGCGAAGTTCTTGGATCTCTACGTATTTCCAACGGATCTCCACCATTTATGTATCTCTACGGATATGCATGGATTTTCACAGATCTCCACATATCTCTATGAATCTCCATTCCATAGGACAAGATTTCTACAGTGGCTACCTTCTTGATGCGATTTTTGGGACGGAGAATCTCCAATTGTAGAGATCTCCTTGTAACTCCATAGATCATTTGGATTTCCATGTGTTTCTTCTGAACCTCCATATACATTAATAATTACGGTATCAATTGGAATGATGTGCGCACGAAATTACGATTTCCCGATTCTACACTACTGCAGCCGAAGTTCCCACCAAATATCCATGTTTCTCCACAGATATCCATGGTTTCCTCACCTATGGTTTCCACATATCTCCACAAATCTTTAACCTGTAGGACAGAAGATTTCCACAGTGGCTTCCCTCTGGGCTAAGAAAAATCTTCATTCTTATAACTTCATAGATATCCATAGATATCTTTGTATCTCTGGGGATATTCCGGGATCTCCAGACATATCGGTATATCTCCATGGACATCATGCCGTAAAACAGATTTCCACAGAGGTTACCCCCTCGGAGGTAATTAGTCACTTGCGATTTTTAGAGATGTTCTTGTAACTCTTCGTATGGATATCCTTGGATCTTCAGGGATATCTTGGGATCTGCAGTCATAGCCTGCGATCTCCATGGAAATAATCTGGATTTCCATGGATCTTCGTAGCCGAAGTTCTTGGATCTCTACGTATTTCCACCAGATCTCCACGTATCCCCATCAAATATTTATGAATCTCCACGGATATCTATGGATTTTCGCAGATCTCCACATATCTCCACGGATCTCCATTCCATCGGACCAGATTTCTACAGTGGCTACCTTCTCGAAGATAGTCACTTGTGATTTTTTGAAGGACGAAAAATCTCCATTTGATCTGTAGAGATATTCTTGAAGCTTCATAGGTCTCCATATGAATATCCTGGGATCTCCAGCTACATCCTGGACATGCCTGGACAAATGCTACTCTCTATGACCCTTTTCTGGAATCTTCGAGTAAGTTCGTTTATAGAGAAATGCTTACTAACCACTCTGAAAACATTGTGAAAGATTTTAGATTTTTTCGATTTTCAATAATTATACCGGTATTTTTGACAGTTAATTTTTGATTGTCAATGTTATTATTTCCATTTATTTATTTCGTCCTTGCATATTGAGCTTTTTCGGAGGTGTAGATCCATTGTAACCATTACATCAGGCCGAATAAAGGTTCCCCTGACCCAAGCAGAAAAGGACGTAAAAAAAGCCAAGTTATTCTCTATGTAAATACGAATTATAGAGGTGCCAGTCATGATTCTTTAATATGGAGGAATTCTCATTTATGTCGTCTGTATAATATGCACATAATATGTACCGTTTGACACTTCTACACTGTTCTAGATCCCATAGTCCAATTCCTAGTTAAATGATTTCTTAATTCATCCTATTTATTCTAAGTTAGTGATAAATATGGTCAGCTTCTGTAAAAAAATAAATTCAGTAAAATCAAATTATAGCTGAAAGAAATCGAAAGTTGGGCTATATAACCGTTAAATGGTCTAGAGATATAATAGAAATCCTCAAATATACACGTCGTAGGATCCAGGGTTAAAAATTTATCAATTTTTAACGTGATAGGTACTTACTCAATAAGTTTAAATTAAAAGCATGTTGTCCAACCTTGACCTCAGTTCAGATTATTATATAAGCGTTAATACATAGGCTTATGAAAGTACATTTTTTAAATATGGCGGTACTAAAAGTTAAGTAGGGAAAAAATCTAGCAAATACGGTAAATCAAAAATTCAATAATAGAGTTCACTCTGGTGTCAAGAATAATGAATGAAATTGAAACTTTGAAATTTAGGTAAAGGTAATGTTGGTGAAAATTTAATCAATTAATTTAATTGACTATAGAACAGAATTTAAAAGCGTCAATTCCAACAGAAAGGTAAATTACGGTAGTCAGTAGCCATTCAGTCTTTGGTCACTAGACGAGGGAAGTTGCACTGGAAGTCGTGGATTCTAGCCTGGAAGATAGAGGCTAGAAGTTCAGCTTTCTCCGTCAAAAGTAGAGATACAGGAATCGACACGTGAAGGACTCAAGAGCTCTATGCCCAAATATGAGGCTTGTTGAAAATGGATCCCTTGAGAAAAAC